TCATGTAGAGATATTGAATGTTTGTATTTAATGATTTTGTCATGTGGAGACTGTGAATGTTTGTATTTAATGATTTTGTCATGTGGAGACAGTGAATGTTTGTATTTAATGATTTTGTCATATGGAGACAGTGAATGTTTGTATTTAATGATTTTGTTACGTAGAGATCGATGAGACACACTTTATACATTGATTTTTTTAATTATTTGCCTTTGATATAGAAACACGAAGAACAAAAGCAAAGGAGATACATTTGTATTTATGTATTTTTCACATATTAAAGTTGAAAACCAATTGAATGAGTGAATTTTTAGATATGAAGGTGTCTTATGTGGCAACATTGGAAAATTCATTCGGTCTAAGAAACGTGGTTAAAACCTTGTAAAATTGCAAGTATAGGACCAAACTGATTTTCATTGCATTTGAAATCTGTGATAGACTAGATAAGAAAATCTTCGAAAGTTAAGAACTGTTTTCTTCTCGTTCCATGTAAATGAGCCGAGCTTTCCTGTTTTCCAGCTTACAAGTAATAAAATATATATATATATTTAAGTAAAAGTCTAATGCAGATACATAAGCTGCAAGTGACAGAGTACATGCTTCTACTCTAGAGACAATTGAAATAAAAGACAAATTACATGCTCTAAAATTGAAACAATTAACAATTCACGTGTTTGTGATGTAAAAGCAAGAGAGACAAGTGACTAAGTAGTTGCTTATGATCTAATAACATCTGAGACAAGTGACAAAGTACTTGCTTATGATCTAATAACATCTGAGACAAGTGACAAAGTGCTTGCTTTTGATATAACAGCATCTGAGACAACTGACAAAGTACCCGCTTGTAGTGAAATAATACAATATTATGGCATAGAAATAGTTCAGTCATAACTTTAACAAAGTTTTTACTTGCAATGTACATACAGGTGACAGATTGTATAATCATAATGTTGAGAATATTGTGAAACAAATAAAAAAGGATGAAAGGAATAGTTTTACTTAACTATCAAAGTATATATGTGTGATGTGAGAAAAACACTACTTTATACTTTATTATACATTTTGTTATTATTACAGCATATAGGTTCCCTGTGATGCATATACGTGTGATGATATGCAACACAAGGAACCTATATGACTGTAATAATAACAAGATGTATAATAAAGTATAAAGTAGTGTTTTTCTCAACGTGTGATGTGAGAAAAACACTACTTTATACTTCACTATACATCTTGTTATTATTACAGTATATAATTTCCCTGTGTTTTTATTTATACAGTCTGAGGAAGGTTAAAGTTTTCAGTTAGTTTAAGTTACCTGTCCATGTTCAATTACACATGAGAAAAGCGGATCTTGTCCTTACGCAAAATCTTTCTTGCGATTCTGTAAAATATAAAACTAGAAATAAACAAAGCTTTGTACTGTCAGTTACGGTTTGTGTTTTAGTGGAACGCTCCTGAAGAAACTGTTAAGCGAAACGTTGACTGTCCAATTGAAGAAATCGAACAAATTGGTGCTATAATATCGTTCATTTGTAATATTAAAATGTCTTCTATACACCAATATGCACTACAGAAATTAAATGAAATATAAAACTGTCTGAAGATCTTCAGGGAAAACATTTACATTTCTCTATTCGTTGATATTCGACAGAACACCAAATTTTAGCGTTATAAGCCCTCAAGCTTATAGCTAAGCCACCGGAAACTGTAGTTTGCATGAAATATATTTGGAACATGTATATATAACATTCTGTACAAGTATATATATATATATGTGTGTGTGTGTGTGTGTGCAACACATTGCGTAATCTGTTGCAGTTTAGTTGCTTGGAAAAGCATTAATAACAAGTTATGAAATGCCCATAGGTAGAATATTATTTGTTTACTTTATGTTCTCGTTATGTTATGAATTGATTTTACTGCACATCAAAATTAAGGCTCAAAGGGTTATTTTTGAGCTGCAGTAATTTTTATTTCGTAGAAATAACTGAAAAGTAAACTATGTACGTGACTCGTATTGGAAGGCAGACATTCTACAGATATTAGTCAGTGACAGCTGTAATAACTGAAAGACAGACATTTTACAGATATTAGTCAATGACAGCTGTAATAACTGAAAGGCAAACA